AATTCTTGACTATGTCAGAGAGGTTCTTTCTGATAATATGGTTTGAGGTTCTTCATTCTTTTCACAGATCTGGGACACTTTCCCCCCTATCATTTCTTATTCTGTGCCTTTAGTTTAGTGTGTTTGTGTGGCTGTTATGTGTGCATGAGCACCCAAGTGTGCAGAGGTGCACATGAGAACCCAGGAGGGCATCAGGTGTCCCCTTTACTACCTTGCTATAAGCCCTCTCACTGACTCTGGAGCAACTAGGATCCACTTTTCTCTGCCTCTCCCCACAGAGGTAACCCGCATCACAGGCACCTGAGGCTCTGACTGTCTCTATGGAGAGTGCTAGGGGTCTGAGCTCAGGTTCTCATGCATACAAAGGAGCCATCTCCACAGTCCCTGACTTGCTCTCACCTCAGCTCCGTCTACCCATAGCTTGGGAATTTTGACCATATCCTGCAGTTTTTCTAGGCTCACATCTGTTAGAATGCAGCATTTCCTTGAACTTGTCCTCCATCTGCTAATTCTTTTTTAAAGCTGTCTTGTAGTTCCCACAGACCTAATAAACAGCCTTGAATCAAGCAAAACCACATTACTATGTGAGATGTTTCTGCCGATGTGTAGCTACTAGTCTCATCAGGATGGACTTCTGCATCTGATAATTTTTTTCTAAGATATATATAATAAAGTGCTATATCCAGCAAGGAACATCACAAAAATTGGTAACCGCATAATCCCATATATTGCATTAATCATTCTGTACTTTATACATAACAGAAAAGCTCTGGTCATAAGAGTCTTCTCTAATGGAAGGTTGCAAACACATTTTAACAAAACCTAAGGCAATCATTTTTTTCCCACAACATTAGTAGCATTGAAAGATGAGTGAATTTTTCTCTGTTTTAGTGACTATGTTAATCACTGGCTGAAATTATTCATTAATATAATCCTAGAAAAACCTCAGCATGATTACTTTGAAACTACTATGGTAGGCAAGAAAGAAACAGACATAGGCAATGTCCAGTAGTCACTGCCTTATATCTGCTGGGAGACATAAACTTAGAGTCCTTACAAGGTGCTGTTGAAATTGGGAAGTGATGATGACTGTCAAGTAGATGATTCTCCATGGATTATACCATAAGCAGGGAATAGCTAATCACAGATGAAACATGGACCTCAGGAAGACATGACATTTCACCATCAAGTAGCATGCATGCACTACCCCTCTACCTAGCTTATGATGGAACAGCAATTTGAGAAACTCTTTCCTGGCAATAGACATAAGTTTTCCATATAATTGAAGCCTAGAGGGTAAAAGCTATGAAATTTGAAGGTGCTAAAATTATAACTGCATCTGATAATTTCTAATCTGCTTAAGCCAGTTGGTGCTCCCCATTGTACTTATCAGATGGAGTTTTAATAGCCAGCATTTTTGTTACAAACAAACTAAATTCCCTTGTTAAATGTCTCCAACATAGCTTACTTCATTCACATTGCTGTTTATTTCCCTCTTTCTTCTTGCTGACTACCTAATCTGATACTGGCTTTTGTCTCCAGGCACTGGACACATTTCCTTAATCATCTTGCTTGTGATGTCTTTGGGTCATGGACTATTTTGAGATCTTTAGCTGGTATTTTACCTGTTTGTCTTTGAACTCTGTAGCTGAGGAGTCAGTCTTTTGCTGGAATGGTGATTTATGCCTTGCCTTTTCATGTTTACTGCTTTTTTTTTCTTTAAAATCTTATTTTTAGTGCATGCATTAGTGTATGTCATGGTGGGCATTTGGTAAGAGGACAACTTTGTAGAGTGGTTATCTTCCTTCCACTGTGAGTTCCAGGGATTGAACTCAGGTTGTTAGGCTTGTGTGATGTCATAGTTAGCTCCAATTTTCAACTGAACATACCCTCAAAGAGGGAAATTCAACTGAGGAGTTGCCATCGGCTTGCTGGGGGGAAGGGGCATTTTTTTGATCCATTTGGCTTCTGTGAGCAGTGCTATGCCTAGGCAGGCAGACCTGGGCTGTAAGAAAGGCAGCTGCATAGAAGGCAGGAAACAGTATGTTGCCATGGCCTCTGCTTCAGTACCTGCCTTGACTCCCATCAGTGGTAGATTGTGAAATACACCCTTCCTCTCCAAGCTGATTTTGGTTAGTGCTTTATAGAAACAAGAACACCAGAGAAGTGCTTTTATGTGCTGAGCCACTACATTGGTCCTACTGTGTTTTGTGTTATGATTTATGTATCTGCAGGTTTGGATATAATTTCTGGTTTTAACTGAGGCTATTTCAAGTGACACCTTGTTCTTGAAGGCTTAATTTCTAATACCATTCATTGAGAAACTAGTGTAATGGTTAACAATACTAACCCACACAAGATACAAAAATACACTCAAAATCAATCAAAGTCAACTAACACATAACCAATGACTAAAAAGGTACTAATGTACAGTGTACTATGAAGTTAAAGAATATTAAGAAAAATTAATCAGGTTAAAAATGAAAATAGTAAATGAATGAGATTAAAGGGATAGGGCCAGAGGAAAATAAGAGGACAAACAGGCTAACCAAACAATTTAAATAAGGAATGGAGAAGACTGCTCCTGAGGAGACAAAGGCAAAGCTGTTAGGAAAAAAAGTAAAATATTTTCCAATAAGAAAATTCATAAATGTAGAAAACACCAAAGCATAAAGTTTTTTTTGAAAATAAAGATAGTAAAAACGAAAGATTAGCCAATACTGAAAAGTATTTTATAAACAAAACTAGATAAATGGCATGGAGAATAAAAAGGAAACCAATAGTTTTAAGATACATTAACATAGAAATACGGCACCGGAGAGACGGCTCAGTGACCACCACCACTGACTGCTCTTGTAGAGGATGTGGGTTGGAATCCTTAGCACCCACATGTGGCCCACAACTGTTCCTTACTCCAGTTCCAGGGCATCGGATGCCCTCTTCTAGCCTCAGCAGGAACCAGGTACTCACTGGAGCACATACATACACATAAGCAGAACACTCATCTACATAAAACTAAAACAAACAATCCAATAAAGTAAAAACACTTCTAAAAGTATAATAAAAAATACCCAAACCAAACAACCAGGGGCATAGAAGGGAAAATATTCATTGTTGGAGGACCTTGTTTCCTGGGTCTTTGAATTTCAGGATTTGTACCACAGCTAAGCTTATTTCTGTCTGGTAGTGATGACTGCTGGCACAGGCTTCAGTTCTGTACCTTCACATACTGTGGCCTCTGCTGGCCACATTTAACTCTGTAGACTCATCTGAACAGGTTCTCTCCTACCCTTCCCAGACTCTCCAGTTCAGAGCCCCCTTGGAGTGGATAATGCTATGGCTGGGAGTTGGTTCTTATATACATTGGGAGATCTGTATAAGCAGAAATGTTTGCACTTTCAAAATCTACTAAGAGTTTATCCCCTTTTCATTTTGCTGACTTCCTCACCTAATACTGGCTTTTGTCTCCAGGCACTGGACCGATTTCCTTAATCATCTTGCTTGTGATATCTTTGGGTCACGGATGCGGCACTGATGTAAGTCTTCTACCTTGGCTTTGCAGTTTAAACTCAATAGCACCTTATCTCATGGCAGGCAGCTGGCTCTAGAGGCTGGTCTACTGGAGTCTTCAAACCCAGTGTCTCAGTTAGGCTTACTATTCTATGATGAAACACCATGACCAAAAGCAAGTAGGGGAGAAAAAGGTTTATTTGCCTTACACTTTAGCACGGCTGTTCATCACTGAAGGAAGTCAGGACAGGAACTCAAGCAAGGCAGGAAATTAGACAGAGGAGCTAATGTAGAGGCCATGGAGAAGTGCTATTTACTGGCTTGCTCAGCCTGCTTTGTTATGGAATCCAGGACCACCAGGCCAGGGATGGCCCCAACCACAATGGGCTGGGTCCTCCCACATCAATCACTAACTACCACATAGGCCTGTCTACAGCCGGATCTGACTGAGGCAGTTCAGGCTCCCTTCTCTCCACTGACTGGTGCCAGCACATCCAGGGCTACTGAACTATTATCATTATTGTTTGATGAAGTCTGCTTCCAGGCACTGGTGGGCTACCTCTCTCTGCTCTTTCAGATGTTCAGATTCTTACTTTATACATCTCTCTGATGAGGGTTGTTTCTCACCTTGAGATGGTGGAAGTTTGGATCTTGATATGCTAACTGGATTGTTCCATGTTCTCAGGTCCCAATTAGCTCAGTTTTATACAATAGGTTTCTTCTCAAGATAGCATCTGAGTAAAGCTCTCTGTGCTAGGAAAGTCTTTTTATTTTTCTTTCTTTTGGCGATTTACTTTAAATGAAATCTATTTAAAGTGTGTGCATGTGTCCAGAGACCAAAAGGCATCGGATCTCCTGGAGGTGGAGTTACAGGTGATTGAACCACCTGACACTGGAAAGTGAACTTAGGTCTTTGCAAGAATATTACTCACTCTTAAAACCACTGAGGCATCTTTCCAGTCAATTAGGAAACCCCTTCTAATGCTAAAGTATTCTGACACTGTGGGCGTTCTTCATTTTGGTTCATCGTTCTCATGTTTTCCCACAATTTCCAGCTGCTTCACACTCCTGCTGTGCATCTCTGCAGAGCTTCCTCCATTTTTGTCTTTGGAATACAGTCTATTTTCCTTAGCCTGGTATTTCTGCCTCACTGGGTCTTACTGAGGCAAACTGGACACTGCAATCTTAACTGGAAGTCTTAACAAAATTTCAAGACTATAACTCTATATTACATTTCTGCATTCTGATTTTGCAATGACTAAGTAAGAAGATGTGGGTGGAGTTAGGAGCCACCCATTTAGGGGCCCACAGTCACTTGTAATTCATATTCCAGGAGATCTGACAACTTCTTTTGGCTCCGGAGGGCACCTGTACAAGTGGCATACACCCAGAAAGTAACAAATCTGAGTTCATGTGTGCATGCACATACAAAAGCCTTTAAAAAGAAATTCTGGCTAAAACGGAGATATGAAAACACAATTTGAGATAAATAAGCCTAAAAGCAAGATCAACTTTATTGAAGCAATTTGGCTGTATTTATCAAGACTGAACTGTACACAAGACCTGTGGTCTAACTGCTAGAAATTTACCAACTGAAATATTTGTTCAACAGCGAATATTGTAAGGAAAGACAGTACATAATAGTTGTTAATAGTAAAACCATGAAAACTGCTTGAGTGCCTCTTGGTGGGGAACTAGTTTATATACACAGATGATGGAATACAAGACACCCATTTAAAACACGAGGTAGATTGACATGTATGACATGTATGGGCTGAATGGAATGGGCTTTAAGATAAACTGATAAGACAGGAGGGTCAGGAACTCAAGGTCATCCTCAGCTACACAAGAAGTCTGAGGCTGGTCTGAGTCACACAACATTATCTATAAAAACTAACCACACCAAAACAGAAAAGTAAAAACATTGATTGATTAAATAAAAGCATCTTGGGTTGGAGAGATGTCTCAGCAGAGAAGACCAGAAGACCAAGTGCATTTTCTAGCATCCATATTGGGCAGCTCACAACCACCTGTAACTCCAGCTCTGAGGAATCCAACACCCTTCCTGAACTTTGTGGGAACCTCATACACATGGGGATGGGGGTGAGGGCAGGAATACACTCACACACTCTCTCTAAAAAAGGCATCTATTTAATAAAATATACATTAAGTATACAAAAAGGGAAGGCACAGTATATCAAAGGAAAAGTTTCAATCTCTTCAGAAGAAGAATTAACATGGGGACAGTGGGATGGTTCAGTAGGTAAGGGCTCTTGCCATTAGTTTAGCCTGATGATCTGAACTTGATTCCCAGGAACACACACGGTAGAAGTAGAGAACAGATTTCTACAAGTTGTCCTCTAACTTCTATGCACACACATGAAATAAAAATGTAATAAAAAAGTAAAATACACTGCTAACTGTGATTATCTTTAGACAGCTGAATAAAAAATAGGTAAGATAATGGGAGAGTTTTACTTTTTTTGTTATATCATTAAATTGGTAACATTATTTCACTAGGGGTTAAATGTGTAGGCAGAATTTTTTTCTTTTTCTTTGCATTTTTAAAAAAAAACGCAATAATTATTTTACATACATACACACAAAGAGGTTAAACCAAAATACAGTTACAGTATAGAAAGAAATACACACATATATACAGACATACTTAATTTAAGTACAGTGTCATGCCTAGACTATTTCTTTGAGGCAAGGTCTCATGTAACTCAGGCTGGCCTTGAATTTATGCAGCACAGGATGACCTTGAACCTCTGAAGTACTAGGATTATAACAGGCACCTGCCACCTCCTGGCCGGATGCTTATTGTTTTAAAGTACAGAACACAAGCTCAGTTAACATTACCTAAAGATCCAAACCACTTCATTAGTATTCATTAAAACTCACAAAGGTTCCCATATCACATTGCATACAGTATCAAAGATTGTAGAAGACCTTTCTAAGCGTCTCTCATTCAAATGTCTCTAACTCCACATGATCTTGCTGTCCTCACACTTCAGCTTCAGAGGCTGGTCTTCTGATCAGGTCACCAAAATATGCTGTGATTGTCTTTAATTTGTTATTAAGAAAGTTCTGTTCTATTTCCACTTGCCCTCCAGGACCAGCCAAGGATGCCACCTGTCAGGAAGAACACAGAAGTCATACATACTTGCAGGATCTTTTTTCTTCTTTTTCTTCATTGTATCATTAAGTAGCTCTGGCTAGTCTACTTTGTTGACCAGGCTGTCATCAAACTCAGATATTCTGCCTCTGCCTCCTGAGATTAAAGGTGTTCATTGCCATGCTCAGCACAAACATGATTTTCAAAAGTTTTTATTCCCCTAACATAAACTATCTGTAAGAGAAAGACTGTCTTTTTTATGAAAGTACTTTAAATAAAGGAGCACCTCATTCACCACTGCCTGCCAGGTATGCATTAATATAGTACTCATTGTAGAAACACTTGCTTCAGACTGTCTCGATGTGAGTCAGATCACTATGCTATGCTGTTCTACAGATGCCATCTCACCAGTGCCATAATCTAAGGATTCAGAGGAAAAGAAAATGGATAAAGCCTGCACGTCATGTCAGTTTTAGCACAGACATCTAAGAACCCACTTTCCTAAGAAACTCAGCTTTAATTTTTTTCTTTGTAGGTGGAGGCCAGAGGCCAACTTGTATGGGTCACCATGTGGGTTCCAGGGATTAAACTTAGGCCATCAGGCTTGGTGGTAGGCCCTTTACATACGAGCATCATCACCTACCTACTCCTAAGATACCCAACTCCCTTTGCTCACGCTACTCTCTCCATTGCACAACAATGTTTACTGTTTTTTGAGTAGAGCCTGTACTTTTCAAATTAGCTCTTTCCTGGATCTCTATCTCTGTTCACTTCCTCTACCTGATGTTCTTTTGTGTTACTTTACATATCTCTGTGTATCTGTATAACTGATTTTTGAGGTCTACTAGAACATAGCTACTGACTCGAGGAGATAAAAGCAACCCCCTTTTCCATTAATATTAAGTTAATATTAAGGATGCTAATCAAACAATTGGGCAATAAGAATAATTACCTGCCAAGGAGCTCTTTGCTCTGCAACACTTGCACTGGTCTTTGTAACATTTCAAACCAGCAAATTAAGAACTCTAAGTTCTTTTCTTTGTTTCTTTAAACCCTGGCTGTCCTGAAAGTTACTCTGCAGACCAGGCTGGCCTCAAACTCACAAAGATCTACCTGCTTCAACCTCCTGAGTGCTGGGATTAACCCTCTTATACAGAAAAGATTTCCATCTTGCACTCCCCCTCCTACCCCTTTAAGAGATTTATTAACCGAGAAATTTCTACCTTCTAACATATAATCTTAATCATTAATCAGATTATCAGATTGGTAAAAATCAAGGAAATAGTGAATGCAGATGAAAGGCCCAGCCAGTCAGAACAGGAGGGATGTGGTAGACAAAGGGAAGCCCCAAGTTCTGGGGGCAGGCAAACTATGCTCAGAGGTTAAGAACACTTGTTGATCTTGAGTTTGGTTCCCAGAACCCATGCTGGGGGTAGATCACAACATCTGTAACCCCAGTTCTAAGGGATCTGATGGCATCTTCTGGCCTGTGTGCCAATTGCATACACATGGCATACATTCAGACACATTAAAAACAAAACAAAAACGTCAAAAATATCCTTATTCTTCTCTACCTATCTACCCTCCTACATATAAACCAATGAAAATAAGCTACAGTGAGTCAGCACCCACCTATCCCCTGCACTACATATGGAATACAGTTTATTTTTGATGCTGAGGATTGAACCCGGGGCTTTGGATATGCTAATATCATTTACCACTTAGCTAGACTTTCAGCCTCCTATGGAATGAATTATAAAAGCTAATGGGAATCTAGATAATAAAAATAAAACAGATGCTAACAGACTATTCATCTAAAAAAGCCAAGGAGGGTGGAGTAATAGCAGAGAAGGGCCAGGAATTGCCTGATGGAAGGCTATGGGTTTATCCTATTTTTATGTATATGGGTATTTTGCTTGGATATATGTACCACATATGGACAGTGACTGTAGAGGCCAGAAGAGGGTGTCAGATCCGCAGGGACTGGAGTTACAGCTAGTTGTGAGCATGAGGGTGCTGGGAATCAAACCCTGGTCCCCTAAAAGAGCAGTCAGTGCTCTTAGTAGATGAGTGTGTCTTCAGCCTCCAGGTTTACTTTAATACAAATCCAGGGATGCTGCCCAGGGTCACCTTGTTATAAGACCAGCATAAAATTGATCCAAGTGCTTGAGTTGAACTGAAAAGTGTAACTGCTCTTATGGATTCTTGGTTACATGTTTTGTGTAGTTTTGAAAACTAAAGAACAAGGAGCTACTATGCCATGCTGACTAGGAGGCCTGCTCTCATTCTCATGCCTGGAACGTAACTAGACTCTTCATGTTAAGAGTCCATGTACAAGGATTTCACATCAAAGTGGTACCTGAAACTGCTGTATGCAGCTACCATTAGATGACTAAGATGTTCAGAGGCTTCCATCTCTACTATATAGGCTTACTTTTTAAAAGAAATTTCCAAAGCATGCTTTGTTTGCAAAGCATGGTGAATCCAAAGCTAGTGCTGCCTGGAATTCTAGACTGTCAAGGGAAAGAAGTGAAGGAAAACAGTAAGGACTAGGAACCAAACAAGATTTCAAACTGTGGTCTCTCTGAACCAAACCCATGCCTCTGGGTTTCAGAAGCAATTTCAGAGAGGCATCGATTTCCAAAGAGCCTTTCACAAAAAGATGTTTTTAATGAATCAGTTCTGGTTTTACAATGAGAGTTTGGATGGCAAGGGATACATGTTCCAGAACAACCCCAAAAGAAAATGGGAAACCCAGAAAAATATTTCACTGGCTACAAAAAAATCAACAGGCATGATTTCCTACATGGAACACTTTCTAAGACAGATTCTATTTGCATTATCTCTACACTTGGTTTAGCAGAGGAGTAGAATGTAGCATAACTGCTCTGAAACTAAATGTGTGGTACAGATACATTTATAGGAAAAATGCAGCCCGAGTTGCAAACAGACTCATAATCAACTCCTTATACTCTTTCAACCTTGCATTATATTTCCTTTCATTTTAAAACCTCATACAAGGATGAGGCTGGAGAGATGGCTCAGTGGTTAAGAGCACTCACTGACTGCTCTTCTAAAGGAACAGAGTTCAGTTCCCATTACCTACATGGTGGCTCACAACCATCTGTAATTTCCGTTCTAGAGACCCAAGGCCCTCCTTTATGGGCACTGCATGAATATGGTGTGCAGACATAGAGGCAGGCAGAACATCCATATATTTTTAAAAAAACCCTCACACATAGATACTTTTTTTTTTTTTGTTTAAAAGAAAAATGCTGATTTCCCCTGCAGCTTATTTCATACCAAGCAGTTTCCTTATCATTTTCCAGTGTCAGTATTCCCCCTAGAGGCAGAAATCAGGAACTACCAACTCTAATTGTGGATGGTGTTTGTAGGGGCATTCACATACAGGTGAGACATGAGTGCATGTGGAAATGTGGAGGCTAGAGGTGGATGTCATGTGTCTTTCTTTCCTTGGCTGCTCTTCACCTATTTGTCTTTACCAAATGAGTCGTCTCCCTAGTTCCTACATGTCTAATTCTGACAGGTTTTGTGGATAAAAGCAAAGTAAAAAGGAAGCTAATTTTTGTGATAGATTTTCCAACTGGGTGTGGTGGCACACGCCTTTAATTCTAGCACTTGGGAGGCAGAGGCAGCAGGATCTCTGAGTTCAAGGTCAGCCTGGCCCACAGCCTAGCCCCAGGATAGCTAGGGCTGATATAAAGATAAACTCTGTCTTGAAAAACTGAGAAAAATAAAAGTGGCTTTCCTATTGCTACTGAAATAACCAAATGAGTTTGTCTACATGTACCACTAAGGACCATGACTTAGCCTGTGAAGATCATGTAGCCATGTGGGACATAGTTTTGAAGCATGGCAGCCTAAGTCTAGAAAGCAGTTACGCAAGTAACGATAACAAGCTCAACACGAAGAAACCTAAGAAACTCACAACCCTAATGCTGTGAGCAACATCACACTTAGTATCTTGGGAGGCTTAACGTTTGGTCAAGTAGATCATAGATAAATGACTGAAGCAAGGCAGAGAATTTCCCTTCCCTCTAACTCAGTGTAAGCACTCAACTTTTTATTTATCTTATAACCCAGAGTCTCAACTCTAGAGCACATTATAATCACTTGGGGAGCTACAAACAATTTTTGCTTGGGCATCCTCCTAGAAAATAAAGCAGAAGTCTTTCTTAGTGGGTCAGGGCCATCAGTGGTTGAAGAAATCTATTCAGCCCAAATTCACGACTCTTAGATAAGACACAGAAGCCCATCTGTGAGTTGAAGGGACAGACTGAGGTAGTCTAGATGGAAAAAGTAAAGTCTAAAACACTGAAACTACACCAAAGGCCAACATAAGTATGCTCCGAAAAAAGGCCAAAAGATAGTAAGAAGGCAGATCTCTGTAAGTTCAAGGCCAGCCTGGTCTATAGAGCTAGTTCTAGGACAATTGAGGTTGCACAGAGAAACCCTGTCTTGAAAAACAAACAAACAAAACCCCCAAACAAACAAACAAACAAATGAGATGGCAAGGACAGTTAAAATTGTTCCTGGTTAAGTTAAAGGCACTCGTTTCCTTCTTTCCCTTCCTGTCTTAGCTCAAGTGCTGGCATTCTGAGCCAATACACCTCGGTAAGGTCTTATCTTTTTAGCTGGGATCAGTAAAGTGGGCCTTGGCTAGTTGTTCATGCAGCATCTGTCACCCTATCAGTCCATCTTCATAAACCCAGGGAACACCATATGCATCTCTGTGTTCCTCAGGAGCCGTGGTGGTGGGGGACAAGCCAGGGGCTGCTCACAAGCATGTTCTCTGCTAAGGAAATGACCCTGTATCCTTTCCTGCCCATTCTTTCTAACAGGTAAGCAGAGGCACACAGAATTTCCTCAGCAATGGCTTACCTGGTCAACATCAGCATTTCTTGGAAGAAAATAAACAATATTATTAGTGATCTTCTGGGAAAGCCTGAAAACTTCAAAGGTGAAGAGAACAGTTAAGGGAAAAAACAGTTTCTGGGCAGAAAGATGCTCATTATTGTTCACAAATCAAGTGCATTTTGATAGGTAACAAAAGGGCACAGATTTCAATCCAGAGAGTTACTGATACAGGATTCTGGAACCCAGCAACAATAGCACAGATAGGTTAGAAGATTTGGCTGCTTTAGCAGAAGGCAGTGTGAGTTGAAAATCACACCCAGAGGTCTGAGGTTTTGGAGAAACTCTCAATTTGTGCTAATTCCAAACACTGAATAAATCTCTTTATTCTCAAGGCAGGTTCAGTAGAGGCACACCCAGACCTTGGGCAGTTCAGCTGTGGAGCTTCTGCATCATAAATCAGAACCTAGCTTCACATCAACCTATCTTCACAAAATCCTATCAAACAGCACTGTTGTGTCCATTCCTCAGGAGCTAGGGCTGGGCTCTTGCATTACAATGGCAAAATTAAACAGCAACAGAGGGATCTATATCTGTACATCAACAAACACATAATCTTTACATTGCCTATTTTTAAAGTTTTAGTTATTATTATTAGAGTGTGTGTATACCAGAGAACAACTCCCTTCTTTCACCTTTATGTGGGTTCTGGGACTCAAACTCAGGTTGCCAGGTTTGTGTAGCAAGTGCCTTTACCAGTTGAGCCATCTGGCTGGCTCCACATGAACTGTTCTCTGAGTAAAATACAATGGAATTATCAAATGTGATTAGTTAATGCTTTTTCTCTCTCTCTCTCTCTCTCTCTCTCTCTCTCTCTCTCTCTCCTCTCAAAGCATTTATATGGACTATTAGGACTTTCAAAGGATATCCATCAGGAAACATCATTGTTCGAATGTCAAAGGTCTCTGCAGTAGCATAATCTGGTCCCCCCCAAGGCGGGCTTAGGAACACAACATCAGCCTTTAAACAGGGAGCCAAGAGTAGGAAATCTCCACAGATAAACTCTATCTTATCTGCTATCCCATAAACTTCAGCATTATTACGAGCAAGATCAATCTTAACAGGGTCGATATCAATGGCAATCACTAAAAATTGAAAAAGAAAAAAGTCATTGACATGAGTTCATCATTCCAGTAATTCAGGTTCTGAATAAAGTACTCAAAATAAGACTTAAGAGACATTAGCAACACAGAAATAAAAATTTTAGCTCAAATAAATTTAAATTAGAAAGGCTCACCAGAGTTGTAGCAAGAAACCATGATGTACACGTTTCCATGTTTTCTTGCCTACCTATCATCCAAAGCAACTTGCCACAAAACATGGATAGCTTTAGGGGGTCAGGGATATGTACAGTTGAAGCAGTAAGTGCTTACAAATGCTGTTACTTGCATGTAAAGCCCAATGCTAGCTTTCAGAAAAGGCCAGTTTCCTTAAGATTAGTCAATGCTTCTAGTCCCACAGGCTGTCAGGGCAGAGCCTAGGTCATCACAGCACTAGGAAGGCCCAATACTGACTACTTGCTTCCTTTTCTTCTCAAGGTCTGGTGATTTGTAAGAGTGAGTGATAAAATGACATCAAAAGGTTATAGAGCAGTGGCTTTCAACATTCCTAATACTGCGACCCTTTAATAAAGTGTCATGTTATGCTGACCCCAACCATAAAATTATCTCATTGCTACTTGATAACTGTAATTTCGCTACTGTTATAAATTGTAAAATAAATATCTGATATGCAGGATAACCGATATGATATCCCTATGAAAGAGTTGTTCAACCCCCAAAGGGGTCATGACCCACAGGTTGAGAACCACTGCTTTAGGTAGGAGTTTGACAATGAGAACATGGTACTACCTTCCTTTAGGACCCACACTGTACATCTTTCTTTATTAAATGTGTGTTAAGCTACATAACTCGGTAACAAACCTCAATCAAGAAACCAATCTACAATATGCATGTTTTTCATGATACTTAAGGAAAATTTCCAGACTTGTTTTATCATTGTTCAGATATTTAACCACTGTCTTAAGACAAAATGCTAAAAATGAATGAGTTGATAACTTCGGAGAAAAAAATACTTTTCATGCAATGTGTGTGTGTGTGTGTGTGTGTGTGTGTGTGTGTGTGTGTCTGTAGCTTATCTAAAGAAATCTGAGAATTTTGAAATATTGAATTAGTGGAACACAAAATACAAAATAATTATTATCTGATAAATGTGAAAACTGCTTTTATCTGAGTTACCGGGAGACCATATGGCATCAGCTAATGTCATGCATGCCTGGGTACTAGAATCAAGGCCACAGCTCATCAATCTGGTCTTAAAACCAATGGGCAAACTCACTTTGTCTCTGTTTTCTGATTCATATTTTGCTTTCCTAATTAACATTAAAAAGTTCATATAAATTAATGAGATTCTGCTGAAATTCTTTAAAATGAAAGCCACAACTTCTGGTGGGCATAATATGAAGATGCTGTGTGAAAACTATCTTTAGAGTATGATTTAGCTGTCTTTTGTCTCCAAAGCACTGGGATAACATAGAAGAAACAAACCAATGCACTGCCTATAAGGGCTCTCTACCAGAATACATCTTCAGTCCCAGGCATTTAAAAAGAAGGGTGGCGGGGGCATGGTCTCTCTGTAGCTCATTACAGTTTCAAACTTGCAACCTATCTTCCTGTCTCCCAAGTGCTCGTATATATGACTACATTCCTTTTTTTTGAGACAGGGTTTCTCTGTGGCTTTGGAGGCTGACCTGGAACTAGCTCTTGTAGACCTGGCTGGTGTTGAACTCACAGAGATCCACCTGCTTCTGCCTCCCGAGTGCTGGGATTAAAGGCAAGCGCCACCACTGCCAGGCCAGTCTACTAATTTTTAAAAGTGTTTATTTAGTTATTTATTTATGTGTGTGGTGGCAAAAGCCCTTGCCCACCAAGTTACCTCACTGCCAAACAGTGTTAAAGCTTTGTTCCTTGAGAAAAAGTGCACCAGACACCTGACAATAATTAGTAGACTACTCAGTGGTGGAGATTTTTTTCTCCTGGTTCCATGGGTTAAAAAAACCATGAGGATAACATACTATTCAAAGAATGTTTGGAGCTTTGGAATTTTACAGTTGAAAAGTATCACAGGACTATGTGAACTCAATGGTCCTTTAAAGTCGAATGATGTCAAAAGGTAAAAAGGCACTGAGTCACAGATGATGCTTGGTCCCCCATCCATTGTTCTTTAATTCTAAAGAATCCTTATATGGCTTTGTTTTTATAGACTGCTAGAATCTTGGCTTCAAAGATTAGTATGTGTCCATACAATCCTGTGCAATTATTTATCTTTTTATGTCTCAATTTATCTCTGAGATGAAGACAGTAACTTGTAATTTATGACTGTTGACTATGAACATATTAAGTGCTTACTAAACATATTATGTAAGATTAACAATAAACACAACAAGCTACTGTTTTAAATATTTGGTATGAAATTAATTATATGTTAAATCTCATCAAAGAAATGAACAAGAGTAGAAATATTTACTGTATAAAATGGAACTAAGAGAGTTCTTTGTACCTCTTTTCCCCGTTAAGGCAAACTGAATGGTGTTTCCTCCAACTCCACAGAAAGCATCCACTACAATGTCACATTTGAAAGACTGACTGACACGGCCAGCAATATGCACAGCAATCTTCTCAGGAGTAACTGAAAACCAGCCCTCTGTAAAGGAAGAGTATTTTTATAAAATGTTCAATTCCAAGAATTCAAGCATGAAAAAGAAAACACTGCTCAAGTTAAAAAAACAAAAACAAAAAAAAACGTTTTTGGATATGGAGCAATTGCTTAGTGGTTAGGAGCTTGGTTAAAAGCCTGTACTGCTCTTGTTAGGAACCTGTTGGTTTCATGCCCACAACACCTCTATCTTCAGCTCTATGGATCTAGCCCTCATATCTCTTCCCACAGGTGCAGCCCACATATATACTCATAAAAAAAGCTTAGTTTCTCATTGCAAAAAATACAAATTATCTAGCTTTAGAGAAAGGTTCAACAAAATTGCTAATTCCTGACTCACTGGCAAGATATCCACATTTCTCCATTGTATGTATTACAACTGTTTGTAATTCTGTTTGAGGCATTACCTACTGCTTATCAGCAATGGGAAACAGCAAGTTCTAACTGATTTCTCAATTATTTTATTCACAGTGGAGAGGTAATGACAGATTTCTATAGATACTTTGAGAACATTTACATGTTTTCAAAAAAAAAACCTTTGCCATCCTCAGAAATGAAGCCACACTTAACTGGAGGAAAGAAAATACCTGCTTTCCTTTCTACCAAAGAGCCTGCTTTTCTCAGAAAGAGATTTAAAGTTCCCCAGCTCCCACCATTACAAACTTTAGATGGCTCTTCCTTACTATGAAGAGTACTACACTCCTCTCAACATTTTATTTATTCCTTATCCAGTCTTTTTTCTCTTAAGAAAATTCCCATATACTTTCTGTACCACACTATTTTACAAATTATATGGGGGCATAGAATCACCTATACTTCACAACAGACCTCTCGATTCTGATAGGTAACAAAGAGATAAATATGTTAGTCTCAATATGAAAATGAGTGTCAGTCTTCGAGATTAATTTAAGTCTGTTAAAATCAGAGAATGGAAATTCAATGATGAATTCAAGTTTTCAGTGCTAACTAATTAAATTATAACTTTCTGCATTTGGTATATCTTCATCAGATGATCTTTTTAATAACCTATATACTTTTGCTACTTTGTATAAGATGCTACAAATATGGACTAAACCTGAAGTTAAAACATATAGTTGTATGTATGTCATGCTGGAGGAGTGCCTCAGTGGTAGGAGCACCTGCCTGGCTCAGGTGAGGCCCTGGGCATGAGAGTCTGAGGAACCACTACAGATTAAAGGAAGCTAAGGAAACATGAAAACTAAATGCACAACATGCTCCTTTAGGACAACATCTGGGTTAAGTAAGAAATAACTTACGATCTTTGTTTTACATTCTTGTGGTACTGGGGACTGATCCCAGGGCCTTATTATTACAGAAAAGCACCCTTATTCTTAGAAAATGCACACTAAATAACAGAGAGTGGCATGATATATGCAACTGGATCAGAAAGACAAGACACACACAGAATAGAAACTGTAAATGCTGGCAATAGCTGAATCCAGGTAAAAAGGATATAAAAATTGTTTTACAATTTTTTCTAAATTTTAAGTGGCTTCTAAATAAAGCTAAACAACACAAATATATTTTATTTACCTTTATCTAACTTGATCCCATCATCAAAACGAGAGAAGAGCCTGTACCTCTGGGCCCAGTATTTTGCCAGCTCTGGATCAGAGGCTATTTCAGGTGGCAGACCATTCATTTTTTTGTTCTTCCCTTTTTTCTTCTTTTTCTTCTTCTTCATTTCAACTAAAATAAGATACAGACAATACAGATCTGACCATGAAAAGAGAAGGGAACAAAGGAGTTCACAAGAAACAGTCATATCAAATTGTCAGTTTTGGACTGTACCAGACATATATGCACTGACACACCCAGAGAAACAGGAGGGTAAGCACTTCAGGTCATAGCTGGTTGAAGGCATAGAATAACTTCCCACTTATAGCACTGATAGGAGATGAAGGCTAAACATCCGAAATCCCCCCAAGCCAGTACCCTGAAACACATCTGGTCCCATCATGTCACATACAGGATACTCAACCCACATACAAAAGCACTAATATAGCTCTAAAAATTATCCGTAGCCACAACACTGCTTTAGCTGGTGAATTACACAAAACACAGATAATTTTCTTTACTTCTTTTGTTGCTGTTGTGCTATGGAATTGAACTCAGAACCTTGGGGTAGACAAACACCAACTGAGCTACATCTGTTATCATTTTTTTTTTTTTTTTAAATTTTATTTTGAGGCTAGGTCTGTGGAATTTTTGTCCAGGCCAGTGTTGAGCTTTCAATCCGCCTGTTTTAGACTCCTGAGCAGCTGAGGTTGTAGGTGAACTTTTCACATTAAGTTCTAGTCCTGGCCATTAAAAAAAAATACAAAAGGTCATTCATGTAGTGCCAGCTACTATAAATGTTTTGTTAATATTTTACCAAAAAGCTCCAAATGATTACAAAAAAAATTATCAAGAAGAAAATGCACACTTCACCAATTTCAGGAGGAACATGCCACTGTCAGCCAGGGACAGAGTGGCAGCAGAGATCAAGGTCCACATAGATAAAAAGTGAAGAACACTCAAACACCAAATCACAGCCATTAGCACATTCACACTAACATGCCTTTTCTCCACTTAAAAATCTTTAAAAATGAATCCTATAAATGCTACAGAAGTGAGAACAAAGGAAACATAACTAAGAAAATGTCCTTACCCTGACCTAGAGGCAAGGGGAAGGGTATTTATTCTTACCTCCCATTGCTGCTTGGGGAGAGTTAATTATTTCTTCCGTTATACAACCCTGCTTCTGCGGGACAGTGGTGAGGGAACTGCCTTCACTCTTTTCTGCTTCAAGTTCACTGGCTGAAGAGATGGTCTGACCTCTGTCAGGCTCTGGATCTCTGGTCTCCATCGGGTCATCAGCTTTCTCCAAAGGCATGTCTTGCTCCTCAGAGTCACTGCTTGTGCAAGAGTCTTGCATTTTGTTGTGAGAAAGCGACTCCTGTGAGGTTTCATCTGCTGGTTCATTAACCCATTTAAGGAATTTTTCCACCTGAAATTGTAAGATACTATTAGAAATATAAACTAACTATGAAGAACACAGTTTATCTTTTTACTTTTTACCATTTGTGACTTGATTAACAAACAGTCCTAATAATTAGCTCAGAGAAGTGCAATGTATCAAACAAGCTACTAATTCTGGGCTATTTGGAATTTAGAGGAGCACCTACTGACTTTACTAGGAATTCCTTTAAAAGAAAAATAACAGATTAAGAATTATCACAAATATACATATTCAGTCACTCACTGATTTTACATTTTGAAGAGCTTTCTGCAATGGCCAAGCTACAAACAATGTTAAATGTTACATGGTATTAACAGAACACTGCCAACCTGTCTTAAAATAAAGCCAGAGGACGCAGGAGGGATGGGCAAGGATGAGATGCTCAGCAGTTATAGGCTGTTCTCACAGAGGACCTGGGTTCTGTTCCCAGCACCTACATGGCAGTTCACAACTGTTCCTAACTGTAGTCCCAGGGATCTGATGCCTTCTTCTAGTCTACACAAGTATCAGGCATATACATAGTGCACACATATAAACACAGGCAAAATACTCATACACAGAAATTAATTTTGAAACCAAACCAAACCAAAGTCAGAGCTATCTCAGAAAGAATGAGTAAGAAGAGCAGGGCTGGAAAGATTAAGTCCTAATAAAATTGGTTTATTTGATAAAATGTTAAGGTACCCCAGGTTTGGAGGATGTACTTCTTTCCATTTGCTGTACAATGAACCTTCTGTATGTCAGGTCTTTATGACCATTAGAATGAGTAAATTTCAGAGAGTGGCAAACAATGATAAAGAAAACCCCACACTCCGAGAGGAAAGTGCCACCTATATACCCAATTGATTAAGGACACAGCTGCCACTATATACACCTGTTTCTATATTCATCTATAGGTGAATATATGGGAATTGTTATTATTCTCAATACACTATAAAAAGTCTGAAGAGATTGACACAAGGCAGTCTATGTAAGAAAGGGTTATTAAAATATTCATGAAGACATCAGCATTGACCAAACTGAAATATAATAATGATAATGATAATAATAATAAAACTACCTATCAATTTGTAGCATGCTTTGCTAGAATGCTGAAGCCAAGAAGTACCCTGAGGGCACAAAAAGTCTTTCAGAAGCCTAAGACTGTGCTCCTGGTCCTTAAAGGGGGCTGGTGACATCAATGACGGGACGGCTCTGCTCATCAGAAAGTCCCCTTCCCCAGGAGAAGGAAAGCTCAGCAGGTCACATGATGCTCTAATTTGTTTCATATTTCTCTACAGCAAAGACCAAGAGATCTTGAAGCTTTCAGCTTACAGTGTGACTCAATTAAGAGAGCTTGTATGTCACATTCCTGGGTAAGCCTATTACTTGAAAGCATGACCAATCTTTGGATGAACTCAGATTCCAGGCTTGCAGTTAGAGCTGCATCAGAATCTGGACTACTGGGATCCTACTTTGTGTGAGACAGGTAAGAAACTTCCCCTTGTCCTTGTCTGCATTACACGGGCAAAACAATCTAACTGGCTTACCTTCTTAGATGCTCTAACATTTTAGTTTCAAACACCCTTCTCTTCATATTACCTAAATTTCCTGAGGACCCCCCAAATCTAGTTTACACAATATGTATCTTCATAAAGCTAGTGGAAAAAAACTGAGGTACTCTTCAGTCTTGAAGGGTGGCACTTCCCGTTTGAACACAACTTTAAGGAAGCACTTCCAGACTGAGTGTGTCTAACTGAAGGCAAGTGTGCGCACACCTTACTCCGCACTTTACTCTTCTTGAGAAGGGGCTTTCCCGACTCTTCCGTGAACAGGATGTGCTTGTTCTTCACAGTCATTTGCTTGCGCATATCCAGGTACTTTGACTTGTATTTCACATTCTTCTCTAGATACCTGACCTGCCGATGACTGAAATTTGGAATTCCACCATATCTGGATCAGACCAAAAGTGGCACACATGTTAAATTCTAGAAAAAGTTTCCCATATAGAATCCCACACCAGAAAATTACAAAATCAAAAAACCCAAAATAATGTTTTTCACTAGTATTTGCTAGTTATATCCACCATTTTAATCTTAGTAAGTTTTGAAAATGATGAGTTCACATACTAACTGCAGAGTTCGGTCTAGTTTTTTTTTTTTTTTGACAATTTAAAAGCAAATGTTAAACACTGATGAGACTAGCAAGGCTATTTCTTTGTGTTTATTATACGGTTATACGATGTCATAAATTCTTGATTCTTGTGCCTCAGATTCTTGAATGCTGGGATTGTAAGTGTATACCTTCACAACTAAAACACATTTTTAATGTAGATTACAAAGTAGAAACTGTGTAGCAGACTGCAATTAACAGGGATAGAATAAAACAAAACAAAAACATGTTTTCTTGTTAGAGAAAATTTTTAAGAGTGATGACAAAGACTTTGAAACATATCTGGACATGTTCCAATTAATGTTAAGAACAGTCATTGAATGCTTAGTCTACAGCAATTCTGACCCAAACATCTGAGTTTTTAATCTGTCTGCCACGAAGTTTTCTTTGATGTGTCAAGCCCCATGACATTTCCTCAAGTCTTTCTCTTTAAATAGAATTCTATTTCTAAATAGAAAAGACAAAAGTTAAATCCCAAGCAATAAGTTTACCTCCATGAGTGTATACTATTAAGAACTAAACAACAGTTTAATAAAATCAATGCTGCCAACAATATAAACAGTTTTTATATATAATATTCAACTCTTTCCTCTTTAGCCTAAAGTGAAAGTGACTACACAAACTACTATTGTCTTTAGGTACCTAAGCAGGTGACTTTTTTTGTTTGTTTGTTTGTTTTTTGAAGTAGGGTTTCTCTGTGGCTTTGGAGGCTATCCTGGAACTAGCTCTTGTAGACCAGACTGGTCTCGAGCTCACAGAAATCTGCCTGCCTCTGCCTCCCCAGTGCTGGGATTAAAGTCACCGCCTGGCACAGGTGACTTTAGAAGTAATTTATAGGATTTTAATTATAAACCATGATCTTTTGAACTAATCTGGAGTCTTTACATTAATCATGAAGCCATTCTCATTTTCTTCCCCGAATTCATGATACACAGGTACTTAAATTTCTTAACAGGTAATTAGTACATTAAGTCTGAACCCTTAGAAACATAAATACTCAAAGATTAGAATAAACTGACTTAAACAGTACATAGTGAGGCTGTTTTATTCATTCAGTTTAGTCTTGCTGTCATGAGATGAAATTACATTTACTCTTAGATAATTACCTACTCATATTTCTCTTTAATATGTGGGCATTTAAGGCCAGAGAAAAGTTAGGTTTCTACACACAAATGTTCATAGCAACATTTGTTTATGGGTAATAATAGCATAATACCAGTAACACCCAAAGGCCCTTTAAAAGGCAAATGGTTGAACGAATTTTAGTATCTCCACACAATGTGCTGACTTTGCCATCAAGGAGGAGAGAACAATGGAATGCATGCTTAACAGACATCATTCTTAGAGCTTAGGAAATAAGCTGGATATTGTTATTGAGGATGGAGATTAAATACAATACATTTGCTGAAAGGATTTGGTAAATGTTCTGTGTACCAAAAAGAAAGGGAAAACATGGGATACTACTGTGAAAAGCAAGCTGAAAATCATGCATCCTACATTAAGTAATCTATGTATCTAACTGTGAAACATTTGAATTTTCATGTTTGCTACATCTGAGCTTAAACCCTTTGTGAAATGTCATCTAGATGAGGTCAAATATTTGTGACTTACAGCTGCTTATTTGTAAAACAGACAGAGGTAACATTTGGCTGTTGCTCAGTGCAACTGAGTTAATACAGTGAATACATCAAATATATAATACTATTTCTACTGTTAAGTCTTCTAACAGGAGAAGTTGGTGTTTTAATTGTATTATTTGCAATGGTATCAAATAAAGTTCTTAGCTATCATCTACATTAGATCTAAGGTGGCTGAAGTTGTTAGGATTTCTAGAAGGTGACAGTACTTACTTTTGTCCTGAACCATGCTTGAATCCTAGAAGGAAACCATTGTCATCAACTTCTGAATTTGGGTTTTCATCGATGTCCAATTCATGGCTAAAAAAACAAAAACAAAAACAGTAATAAGCCATACTTTTCAGAGTTAACAGTGCCATACATACCTGGAAGTCTGGAGAAAAAGTACTTTCATCAAGATTTTTGGATAACTTAATGTACTCAGCAATGTTTGAAACACACAAACAAGCATCGAAACATCTGATGTTAAATTGTATGCATGTGTGTCTATCTATGTGTATGTGTGTGTGAATACAGGGGCCTATGAAGGCCTCAGGTCCTCTGGAGCTGGAGTTTCAGGCTGTCTGATACTTCGGGTGCTTGGAACCTAACTCAGGTCCTCTGGAAAAGCAGCAGGTGCTCTTAACTAAGACCATCTCTCTAGCCCCCAATCTTAAAGTCTTTAAGTATTCTAGCTCTATTCTTGAAGATGGTGTAAATATCTCTCTATTTCCTTTGGAAAAGCCCCAGTAAAAGCTGAAGCCTGAGATTAATTTTTTTGTATTGATTTTTCTAGGTCTCAATTCACCCCCCACCCAAAACAAGCAAAGTACCAATCAGACCAAAAACAAATTATGGGAGGACTGTTATTAAGAATAAGGTATAGGGGCTCAGAGATTAAGAGCACTTACAGCTCTTTAAGAAGACCATTGTTGGTTCCCAGCACCCATACTGAGAGGATCACAAACTCCTGTAACTCCAGCTCCAAGGGATTTGATGCCCTCTTCTGGCCTCCTTGGGTACTTCCCGCACTACCTTCTGAATATACACGGAACTAGAAAGCAATCTTTAAGAAAGTCTGTGATGCTGATGGTAAGTAGCTCAGGAGAGTCTACCACTTAGGCCTGTGAAGGTAAATCTTCATTGTCAACTTTATCAGACTTGGAACACTTAGAAAACACACCTCTGCTTAGGTCTATCAGAGGTTTCCTAGAGATCTAACAGGGGAGGGAAGAACCACCCTGAATAGGTCTGATGCAATGTAACCAGCTGCCTCATGTGCCTGCAGTCAATGAGTTGCTTCTATCGACACGCCTTCCCTACTATGATGGGACCATGCTCTCTAACTACAAGAAAAGCCTTTCTTTCCTCATGCTGTTTTTGTCACAGAATTGACAAGTGTCTTAAACAGGTACCCTTAGAAGCTCTGATTGTTGCCAAGCAGTGGTGGCTCATGCCTTTAATCCCAGCACTTGGGAGGCAGAGCCAGGCTCAGATCTCAGTGACTTCAAGGCCAGCCTGGTCTACAAATCAAGTTCCAGGACAGTCAGGACTATTACACAGAGAAACCCCGACTCAAAAAACAAAACAAAACAAAGAACCCAAAAAACCAAGAAAAACAAACAAACAAAAAGAAACTCTGTATGACCCATAGCATTAAGCAGAATATAGCAGGAAATAACTCTAGCTGTTTATCTTTCCAAGTAAATAAACCAAACTCATTAAATATTTTATCAATTATCTACTAAATTTTAGGAAGTTAAGCACAAATCCTCTGCTTCTAGGAACTTATAGCAAATAATGGGACAATTCATAAGGTAGCTATATAAGGTAATGCAGCAGCTGCCACTCAGACTTCAGACTTTGCACATCATTTCCTAGATGCTATTCGGAAGAAAAAAGTTGTATGTGGAACACTACAAAGAAATGAAATATCTCCACCTAATGTTCCAATTCTGTAGTGATCTATTCTTTCCTTTTTGTGTCAGCACTTGGACACTTTTACTGATAGCTACTGTCACATACGGTGAGATAGCTCCAGGCAACCTAATGATCTCACAAAAGTTGCTATAAGTCTCATTTTTATAGTTGAGGAATTAAGAAATTTATTTAGTTATGAGTGGCAGAATTAGGGTGTGACTGAATCTAAAAGCCTTACTGATAGATCCTTCTTTTGTTTATAGTATAGTATTGCCAGGCTAGATTATGTGTAACTTACCTTCTCTTCACTTTGCTGGGCTTATGACCCTCATATCCATCAGTTTTGTTAGGGTATGCTTGATCTTTGCTTACATTTGTTCCTGAAGACTCCTTCAACTCTAAGGAGAGAGATTAGTGTATTTTCCTGGAGGTCTGGCAACTTTTCTATTATCTTCAAAGACTTAATTATATGCTATGCTTGTAATATTTAAGGCTTCATGATCTAACTACACAGTCACATGTTGTATAGCAATGCTTTGGTCAATGACGACACTGTATTTTATATTCAATGGTGGTCTCACGCAATCTTATCACAACTTGACTGTTTTAATTTCAGTGTTCTCTGATGTATGCACAGCAGTAAAATCACCTGATAATAACCCTCTTAGAATCTCATCTCCTACCTAAACGAAGCACAGTGTGCTTTAAAAAGAAAACTAAAACTAGTTTGTCCAGATCCATACAAAGTATCCTAGAGGGCACAGCCTTACCTTTCTGGAAACTGTTGGCAGGCACATTCTTTCTTTGTTTTTAAATCAAATTGTTAAATCAAGGTTCAAATTATTTCTTCAGTGCCCCTACAAGGTCATGAATATCTGGTGGTACTCTGAGATGGTGTGGAACCTTTAAGGGGCAGGATAAGCGCAGTAGTGAGTGGGTAAAAGGAGACAGGTACAGATGACACAGCCTGCTCCATTTCCCTTCCCACCTCTGCTCCTGGATCATCGCAGATCTGAGTAAGCAGTCTCAAGTTCCTTGCACCACTGCTGATAGCCATCTCCATGGCTGTGCCTTCCCTGGCATGGTGAACTGCATCCTCAAACCATGAGACAAAACAAACAGCCCCTCAAGTTGCTTTTTGTCAGGATCTGGTTACAACCACCATAGAAGTAGTGAATATAATGAGAATACTGAAATCCCTCCAATTATCAGTAGCATCAGAAATGTTGGTATCCTTTATAGAGCAGGATGGCTTACCCTAAACAAATTCCACACAACTCTTGGTATTTACCTGTCAAATTCTTGCTTCCAATTCTAATTCATTTGTTCTGGAAAACGGAAAGTTAAGAGTTCACCATAATTTAGATTTCCCAAGAGATTTTCAAATTTGCCTTTACCGGCAACACAGGTACAGAAGAAATGAGTATTTTTGAAGATGCAGTGCAAATCTTATTAATATAGATGGACAATTGATTGTGATACAAATTCAGTGGGATACATACTTCCATTACATATTGATGTGTTAAGTAGACTGTTTGATAACCATTACCTAACAGAGTAAGCCTGGACTTCCTACCTTGAGCTGGTTGGTCTGTGCTTCTGTTCTCAGATATGTTACTTTCCTTGGGTGTTCCATCAACGGTGTTACTTCCTCCAGAGGCAGGACACTCTTTGCCACTGCTATTCTCACTCAGCTGTGTATCACAGTGTACAGAGGACTCTAACTGGCTCTGTTCTACTTCCTCTGAACTCAGAACTATATTATTAATTCCAGTAAGTATTTCATTATGATCTTTATCATTTGAACCAGAACTTTCATCATCAACTGTGTTAGGCGAAGAAGAAAAAGACACTAAATCTACTTTCATGCTGTTCTCATCTTTTTTGTCAACCTCTGTTTGAGATGTGTAATACCCATCTATATCACAGTTTTGTGAGGCAGCAAAAGTCCAACCCTGAGCTTCCCAATACCGAAATTGTTCCAAATAATACCAATAAAGCTGACTGTAATGTTGCTCCCATTCTTCCTTTGTGTCAGCAAGGTTCCAAGGTTCAGAAGACAGTGTCTGATCTGGATGTTTTTCCTGCCAGCTCTGCCACAATAGCCCTTCTCCATATTCATTCCAATACCTTTCCCAATTCTCTGTGACCTCTAGCTTTGGTGACAGTGTGCTTTCAACAGGAAGGTTTTCTGTTTCAGTATTTGTTTTGCTTTGAAATTCACATGTTCTGTTGTTCTCACAGTGTTCAACAGATGATGGGTCATCCGAAACTACAACATCATCTTCTTCATAGTCATTTCTCCAAGATTCTCGGATCATTTCATCTAAGTACTTCTTTTGGTGCTTTCTTCTTTTTTGCTTTACTTTAACTTTATTTCTAGTATTCATAGATACCTGCATCAGACAAATGGTAACAAGTCTGAGTCTACTCAAAGATTACCATAATCCAAACCACACCCAAACTCCCACTGTGAATCGTTAAAACACAAACAAGTGACTTTTATGGAGTTTTCAAGTTACACACGAGACATATCCCAACTTGTAGTTTAGTTATATATAATACACATATTATATTAGTACACACACATATATGAGTAAAGTGTTCTAGCAATGGATGATTTTGATTGTAAATAAAAATGTAATACTTTAATTTTTTTCTGAAAAACAAGAAATAGAAATAGTAAGACTAGATTAATACCTCAAAATTCTCATGTGCAGACACTCTTCCAAACTGAATTGGCAATCCCATACTTCTCATGAGTTTGGCCTCAGAATCAAGTTCACTTTCATCTGGGCTCATGTCTTTGCTGGGTGATTCTCCGGTGTCATGGGAATGACCATCTTCCTCCTCTTCTGTAGCTTGGTCTCCTACAGACAGCATCTGTTAGCTCCATTGTAGGGAAAATGGAAAGGCAGCCTTTCTTATCCCCATTTAAGAACCCGAGATCCAGAACTCTTACATGACTTGCCCACTCTTTTACACACACACACACATACTACATATACTTTATACCCCCCCTTCAATTTCATGTATGAAATTCTACCAAAGAGGTTCTTCAATGAGGAAAAAAGACACCCATCTAAATAGTGAAGGGCATTACATCACTATTGCATCCAAAGTAATCATGAAATCTCAGGTGAGCACAGGATGGTGAAGATGAATTTACTAATTGTGCTCCTCTCATTGTAACATCTTCCCAGGTGCAGCAGGAGCCCAGTGCTTACAGAACTATCATTTGCACAGCACTGTAGGAAAACTTGCCTTATCCTATCTTTGAGAACATTAAGAGTGTTTCGAGGGCAATTATGACAGCTTATCCTGGGGTTGTCTTTGGCTTTCAACTCTGTACTGCAGTCCTGTTCATTCTGAGAAACAGAAATGTAGTTTATGTGGAAAGATTAAATGGACTAGGGAAGTCTGAGAGAATATAAAGTCATAATACATACCAAATTCTATTTTTTATTTGGGAAGATAACTCAAATGTCTTATTATTTCAGCCCCCCCCCCCAATAAAGCTGGAATGGTCACTTGTGATTCATCCTAATTTTCCCTTTACTATAAAAAATTTCTGACAGAGGACTTCACATTTTCTACTTCTCAAAATTTCAAATTCAGGCTGGAGAGATGGCTCACTGGACTGGTTGCTCTTCTAGAGGTTAAAGACTCCCACATGTTAATTCACAACCACCTATAATTAATTACAGTTCCAGGGGACTGATGCCCTCTTCTGGCCTCCATGTAACTCCATGCTTGCAGTGCACTTACACACATGCAGGTAAAATACCAATATCATACAATTAAAAAAGGCCTTAAAAAGTTTCTTTTTTAAACAAGAACTAAGTATAATACTTCTGTGTGCTGATGCTGTTCAGACTAGCACCAAGGAACGAATTCTTCTAAAGCAGGGTCATTGGATGGCAGGGTGAAGGAACATTCCATAAAGGAACTGCTGCTTTTGTAGTCTTACCAACATTTAATCCAGTCCCGTAGAATCTACTACTCTGGAAAAGTGTGTGTGCAGGGCTTTGTGCTGGTAGTGACTGAAGGTAACTATGTTATTGATTTGCAGTAACTTAAATCTTGGTGCATTAAACAGGGACTGCAACTGTTGAATAGAGCTGCTCTGACACACTCAAGGTATCTTGCTATCACTGTAACCAACTAATGCCAAAAGAAAGGTTTTTATAATAAAATCGCATGTATCTATAAATAAACAAAGTTTCAAATCCTGGCTAATGGAATTCAGGAAGGAATGGCAGACAAGGCAAAGTCTAAGCCAAGGAAACACAAGCTACAGAAGAAAAAAAAAAAGATAGTTTTGAGAGGGGTTCTAGTATGTATGTGCATATATTCGTGAAGGAAGGGTCTACAATCACAGGTTTACTTGCCATTCACAATTTTATGCCAGCAAGCACAACATATTACCACAAGGTATATATATATACATGGGCCATGTAGTCTTATTCACATTACCTGCATAATTGCCACTGCTTTTGATATAGTAGCCTTTTAACCCCAAGTTGTACAATTTTCGATCCCTGTGAAACAAAATAAATAATCCATTGAAGTTGAACTATAAACCTGCAAAGAAGAAAGACTTAATACTGCATAGATTAGCTAATAAAAAGGTTAAGAAATAGGATAGCAACCTATTAATACATTTCTCATACTTACATAGAGGCAATAATGTTCCTCATAGAATTGTTAAAATTTGATTATATAAAATAGCATTTCTTGATACATGATACACACTTATAATTACTACTTTAAAATTAAGTGGAATTTCTTCTGGATATTGAGGGGGAAATCTGATTTTTTTTTTGTTATACACATGCAATTAGGGAGTCTCTAGGTTTTTGGAAACATATGAATATATTTCTATAGTGGAAGGATTGAATTTACCCACATATAAAGCTACATGCATAGTGTAATGTAGTTAAAACAGGAGGGATGTCTATTACCTAATTCTTATTCAACTTTTCTAAAGAACATCTATTTCTGAACTTTTAAATTACTATAACTGGAATTTCATTACTAAAATAAACCTACAGAACACTTAATAAAAGCACACTACATATTGTAGCTAAAACTCCCTCCTCCTGTCTACTTTCTTTAATAGGGTCTCTCCATGTAGCAAACTCTAGCCTTGAACTTGAGGATCATCCCCCTTCAGTATTCCAGCTGCTAGAATCATAGGAATGAACCACCATTACTGGCACTAACACTAAATTTCTGGTGAACTTATAACAAACGTCACAAAATAAAATTCTTGTGTGCTTGATCTATTATTTCATCTCCTCCTGGTAAAGGAATACTTTATGAAATAGAAAGTAGATGGATAATCACAAAACAGCAAACAGGAAGGAATAAAGTACAAATGTGTTTTAGCCTAGCCACACTATCAGGAACACAGACACTATGGGCAAGGGAAGGAGTGGGAGCCACACACAGGCATTAGTGTTTTGTCTACTGGCACCTAAAGATATGGGACACTAAGAGGTGGAGAGAAGGTCAGTATGGTTACCATTATGGTTATAATAAACAAATAAGGAAATGGACTGAGGAAGATAGAGCTAAGACTTGCCTTGTTAAAGGAGGTCATTTAAGTACATAATGAATACAAGACAAAATCTGGAAACCTGGAAGGCTATGAAGAATCCAAGGTATTGGTTCAGTATCATAAACTCATGGCATTAAGTACACAACAAATATAGAACTAGTTTAAAAATGTTGAATGTGTACACATACACAAATATACATTCCTGCATGTACTACAAGCTCCTATGGATACTGCATAACTGTACTGAGAAGACACACGAACAAATACAATGAATGTGGCTGCTCCCTCAAGTTCCTGCTTTGGAGACTTCCCCCTATGATGGACTGGAACCCGAAGCTGAGAGCTAGAATAAACCCTTTCTCCCTGATGTTGAAAACATTTCAGTGCATTTTCATCACAGCAACAGAAAAGAACTCAATGGAGTTGAAGGTCAGGGAGCCCCAGGAACCTACCTGTCTCTGCTTTCCCAGTACAAGGATTAACAGCGTGGGTCACCATGCCCAGCCGTTTTCAGATGGGTTCTGGGTATTGATCTCAGGTCCAACATGCAAGCACTTTACCAACTAAGCTAAATCCATACCTTTTTATTGTTTTCTGCAAACTATTCTTGTAACTTAAAATACTTAAAAATGGATTACAAAAAATTCAAATAATTAAAAATGCATTTTACAGCATAAGCACCTTTATAACAAAACTAGTAACTACCATCTCAGCATTTCCTAAGCATATAATTTTACATTCATAGTATAGAAATATTTTGTATTCTGATGAATGGCTCAAGTTTTTAAAACCAGCAGAAACTTCAAGCCTCCAAACCAATAATATATCTAACTTATTTATGCTTGTATATCTCAGACCCTTCCAAAGTAGACCAAAATTAAACTGATGATCTCCTATCACTGCCCCCAAATAAAACTCCTTACTGACCAGTGATCCCTCTTTATCACCAAAAAGAGCAATACAAGAAATGGGTTACCTTTGACCTATTCTTCTCCTGTGTATGCTCTTTTTTCTTGACTTCTCTCAATCCAATGCCCACAATTTCTCAAACCTTTTTTCCTTTTACCCTTTTCTATTAATGTTTCTAATTTCAAAAACTGCTTTGTGACATGGTCTTGCTATAAAACCAAGGCGGGCTTAGAAACTACTGCTATCTTTTTAATCCAAGCGCATTCTCTTTCCCACACAAAGTTTGAGTGGTCCTTCTACAAACCACCATTCACACTACTGCAGATAAATCTTATGGCAGGGGCAAACTGATAGAATCACTTCATTCTCCTGCTTCAAGTTTTCCTTTCTGGGATTTTATTATTTTTGTTTACTTAGTGCTATAGTCACTAATAAATCTTCTGCATCTCAATTCTTTCTTTTAAAGAGCTCTATTAGCATAATCATCACACAGATAGATTTCAAGGATACCATTTGCTTTCCCCATACTCACTCCCCTCATTATCATCTCTTCTTCCCTCCTGCTCCTGCCAGCCACTTTCCTTTTCCCTAACAGTCCCCAATCTGGACACTACAGTGCACAGGAATTTGGTGCACATATATTGTAACATGTACCAAATACTCCCCATTTTATTTCTCACATCGAGTGTATGGTGTATATATACACACAAATATAAAATCTAGATTACAGATTTCAGAGAAAATGTGGTATTTGTCTTCCCGAGTTTAGCTTAAGATGACTGACTATCCACAGTTCATTTGCTTTCAAATGACACAATTTCATTTTCTTTATGGACAAATAAAACACCACTGTGTTTTATCCACTCATCTGTTAATGGATGCCTAGGTTGACTCCATAACTTGGTTGTAACTACCTACAATATACACAACAAGCATTTATCTTCATAATATGCAGATTTTAGATTCCTTTGAGTCTATTATCAGAAGTGGTTTATCTGGATTATTGGGTAGTTTTTTTAAATTTATTTTTTGGGATCCTTCACACTAATTTTCATAATGGGTGATTCCATCCAATAGCTCCATAAGACTTTTCTCATTCAATCTTAGAGAACATTTGCGAGGACTGTTGTTTGTTTTCTTAAGAACATTCCAGAATGAGATGGAATCTCTATGTATTTTGGATTTTATATTTCCCTGATATTTAAGAACATTTTTCATGGATTTGTTGATACTCTGTATTTAATCTTATGATAAGTGTCTGCTCAGCTCACCTGTCCATTTATTGATTGGGTTATTTTGTGTTAATTTTTGACTTCTTTATTAAGTTCTAGGTTCACTTTCTTTGAGATACTTCTTAGTTACCATTCTATTGCTTTGAAGAGACACCATAACCAAGGCAACTCTTGTAAAATGAAGCATTAATTGGGGGCTTGCTTAGTCCATAATCATTATATTATGGCAGGAAGCAGATGGAAATGTGGCTAGAGAGCTTTATATCCAAAATGGATGGACACAAGGATGACGACAGGACAACACCACAGACAGATTCTGACACATCTCCTAATCCTTTCCAAACAGTTTCAGTAACTGGATTCAAACATACAGAAATATGGAGGCCATTCTCATTCAAACTACCACAATACTGCTGCCAAAAATGGGGGGGGGGGGGCGCAGAGGAATGAAGAAATAGTTTCATGGGTAAGAACCCCTGAGGTGCATGCCTGTAAGTCCAGGAAGGGAGTTTGCTGGCTAGACAGCAAGCTGTGAGTTTCAGTGACAGACCTTGTCTTAAAGGAATAAGGTAGAGAGGGATAGAAGAAAATATTAGGCATTCTCCTCTGGCATCCTCATGCACAGGAGTGTGTGCACCCACTCACATACATGTATTACATACATACTCACCCATTCACCAACACCCATGCATAGAGGGTGGCCTACGGGTGCCACAAAGTGGTAGTTTGAATGATGCAGGATCAGGTATTTGAACACCAGTCCCCAGGTGATGGCACTGTTTAAGAAGGTGTCGCATTTTTGCCAGATGAAATTTATTACTTGGGGCAGGATTTAAGAGTTCATAGATATGCCCACTTCTAGACTCCATTCTTTCAGCTTGAGGCTCCAGCTGTCTGCTGTCATGCCTCCCCTAACATGGACCCTTCCTCTGGAAAAGTAAGCCAAAATACTCTTGTGCAAGTTGCCTTTGGTCATGGTGTCTATCACAGCAACAATAAAGCAACTACCACAGCTAATGTAAAAGACATAGCTTTGGAGAAGCTCAAACCTGGGGTGTGTCTCCTCTTGGTATGCATTCTTTTTTCTAGTAACATTCATGCTCACCTCTGTGTTAAAACCTCTTAATCTCTAACTCAGCTTCCTAAGCTTCTTTTCAGCTTTGAAGTTAAACATTCTGTCTTCATCTAAGTAGCTGTCTTGAAGAAGTGGTCGGGTGCTGCCCTTTCTGACCCACTGAGACTGACATAAACTTTCTTGTAGATGGAAGTTTCTGTCCTGCCTGTGTCCGGAATGTTAATTTCAAAGGGAACTTAGATGGCTCAAGTGCCCCACTCTCTGCCAACAAAATAGCTCTTGGGCTATTTCCACACCCTGTATTAAGTATTCCTTGGCAGATGTCTCATTGGCTCTGGCATCTTCATTAACTTGCTGTCTCCACTCAGGATTCATTTTCGTAACTACAGGCAATGGCTTTTTAGGGCCTTCACTTCATGTAGTGACTTCAGCCATGTAATGTGTTGCCTGGCTTCTCTCAAAAGTTCTCTAAAACCATTAAGGAAGAATCCAACCCTTCACCCTTGCACCTTTCATGACTGCAAAGCCACCACCACACAGAAAACTGCCACATCTGGCTGTTTGAATGGGACAGACCCTGCGCCCCGAGAATCACAACTGTAGCAGCTTTTGTGTGCAGCTGCTTTTTAGGAGCAGAAAACTTTGCCCCTTTCTTTCACAAGCTGGAGGCTGTCTAGGAGAAGTCCATAGCACTCTTCTTTGTTCTGGTGCAGAGTAGAAGGCCTCTTCTTAACTGTGCTAATCTCATTAACAGCTATAGCCTCTCTTTCAGCACATGCCTTGGCTGTACATAAGCGTTCTAGTAATCTTTTTCTCCCCAAGCTGTCTACATTTTCTGTTTCTTTTTGTCTCATTGCTCCTTTTCTTTTTTGGTTTTTCGAGACAGGGTTTCTCTGTGTAGCTTTGGAGCCTATCCTGGCACTCGCTCTGGAGACCAGGCTGGCCTTGAACTCACAGAGATCCACCTGCCTCTGCCTCCCAAGTGCTGGGATTAAAGTCGTGCACCACCAACGCCCAACGCCCAACGCCCGGCCTCACTGCTCCTTTTCATTATAGACCTAGATAAGGGAAATCAGTATTAATTATACCAGATTCAATGTCATGTACTCTGAATGTTTCTCTGCCAAAGAAATAAATTCAATACTTTTAGCTTCAGGAAAGTACTCAGGACATGGGCAGAAAATAGCTAGATCTTGCTAAAACATCACAGGATTGGCTGAGTTAGCATTAAGTCCTCATTTCCCTTGGGCCTACATAGTTTGCCTTACTCTCAGCACTACTGCTAAGTGGTTTATAGTACTCAACCACTTTTCTAGTCCAAAGTTCCAAAGTCTTCCACATCCCCCCTAAAAACAAAACAAAACAAAACAAAAAACCACCAATGTGGCCAGGTTCTTCACAGCAACAGTCCCATTTTCTGGTACCAATCTCTGTTCTAATTACTTTCTGTTGCTGAAATAAAACACCATGACCAAAAGCAACTTATGGAAGAATTTATTTTGGCTTACAATTCCAGAGGTAGAGTCCATAATGGCAAGGGAGACATGGCAGCTGGCAATTGGAACAGGAGGCTGAGAGACCTCATCTTCAACTGAAAACATGAAGCAGAGAGAATGCAAACTAGAAGTGACAATGTTATGAATGCTCAAAGTCCGCCCAAGTGATCTACTTCCTCCAGCAAGGATGCAACATCTTCCCAAACTGCCATGAAATGGGGACCAAGGGTTCAAAGACCAGAGCCTATCTTTGGGTGTTGGTCATTTCTCATTTGAACAATCAGCCATATGTTTCTGGTGGCTTCTGATGCTCTATCTCAGTGGGTCACTAAGAAATTTAGATAAGATCACAGAGCAGCTCTCAATCATATAGGATTATAGCTGATAATGGCCTAGGGCAGCGGTTCCACCTACATTCATCAGAAAACACAGATCTTTACATTAGGATTCATAGCAGTAGCAAAATTGCAGTTATAAAGTATCAAAGAAACTTTATGGTTGGGGTCAACACAACATTCATTAAAGGGTCACAGTATCAGGAAGGTTGAGAACCACTGGTCTAGGGGAATTAAGATGCTTTTACTGTAAATAAAACTTCAGTCTTAGGTGCCATTCCTAGAAAATTTCAGGTTCACACTAGTAAGATCATAAATGCTTATGCTTAAACATGGCTAATTGTTATTTTAGCATTCTCTTAAGAAAATTACATATCGAAGGGCATGGTGGTACACAACTTTAATCTAGTATCGGGAGGCAGAGCTCTGTGAGTTTGAGGCCAGCCTGATCCACAAAGTGAGTTTGAAGCTAGCCAGAGTCACTTAAGACCATGTCTTAAACTTTTGGGGTTGATTATCTCCTCCCACCCTGTGGGTCCTGTGGATTGAACTCAGATCCTCAGTATTGGTGGTAAAAGCCTTTATTCATTGAGCTATCTCACTGGCCTACTTTAACATTTTGTTAAGGATGCTGGTATTCTTGACTTTGAGTTGACGTGAGACTTCAAGAAGACTTCGAATGCAGGTGTTCCTTTCTCTTCCCAAGGTCTCATAACTTTCACTCTCTATCCTGCCACAGATTCATATCAAAGCACTATCACCCTGTCTCACAACCACAATTACTGATTAAGTACTGTGTAAACTACTATCTTAGTGCAATATTGATCTCCTTTGCTTAGAAATTCAACAAAGCCTGGTTCTGTCTTATAGTCCACTGCCTACCAGCACATGTAATAGGAGCACACACAAAAACAAACCAAACAAAAACCTTACTGAATTAAAATCACATCGGACTATAAAGGGGACAATATTTTCATATATTAAATTTAACGTGCTATTTTATTTTGTTTTCCAGGAACTTTCAGATTTCTTCCCCAAGTACATAATGAAAAAGAATACCTGCTAACTTAAATTCTTAAGCTATAAAATTCACCCCCACAAAGATCTACAAAGATCTGAATCTATCAAGAAGCATGTGACACTGGGGCAAATAAACATTTTCTATGCCAAGCAAAAAACCCCGACTTAAGGTGGCTTACTTCATACCATTAACATAATAAAAAAGAATTCTAGTTTCGAATTTTTTTTGTCAGTGCTTTTACTACCAGTAGGTCCTCTGCCTCCCGAGTGCTGGGATTAAAGGCGTGCGCCACCACCGCCCGGCTCATTCAAGCAATTTTTAACATGAAACAAACATTCCTCCCACAACTGCTATAAACATTCTTAAGCCTTTCATCTCAATTAGAATTCGAAGTTTCGATTGTGTGAATTTTTGTTAGAGGATTTTGCAGTTTGAAAAGAGAGCCCTATTTTGAACCTTCACCTTTTATTATGCTCTGTCAGTTTACACTTCACACCTCCATCTCATTGGTGTAGTTCAAGCGGATCTCGAACTCCCTCTTGATACAGACCCGGGACGCCTCGTCTAACTCATATTCAACTTTGAGATCGGTCCTTCATTTATAAACGCGAAATAACATATGCAAGCTACCATAGTTTTAAAAATCAAAATTAGAATAAATCTCTCCTTCAGTAATGGCAGTAGGAGACCATTCCGTCACGCCCGAGGGGCTTCG